CGGCGGCCGCGGGGCCCGGCCCGCCCCGGCTCCTCCTGCCCGGCCCCGGCGGCGCGGGGTCCCGGGGGGGCTCGGGCACGGCCGGCTCGGGGAGTGCCGTCCGGCTGTGGGGGACGCGCCCGACCGGGGGGGGCTCCGCGCCCCGGGGGCTGCGGGCAGGTGTAGGGGGGTCTCGGGTTCGGGGTGTTCGTGGGCGCGGGGGGTGCTCTGGGTTCGGGGTGGCTGTGGCTGCAGAGAGCGCTGCCCGCGTTAGGGGGTGCCCCGGGGTGTGGGGGGCCGCTGGGCTCGGGGCGCGCTGCCCGGCTGGGTGTGGGTGAGCCCGGCTCTGGGGCCGGGTCCCGGGGTGGGCAGGGCGGTGCTGCCCGGGCACTGTGGCTTGGGGGTGCGGGCGGGCTGAGGGGCCGCGGAGACCCTGCCTGTGGTGAGCGCAGGGCAGCGTGGTGAGCGGTGCGGAGCTGTGTGTTCCCCTGTGCTGCTGCCCTCCTGCGAGGGGAGTCTCGGCTGGGAGCTGCCGAACAAAGCTGTGCTGGCCCTCCCTGGCTGCTCGGCCTCCTCCCCTGCCTCCGGTCCGCTGCGCTTGAGATCAGGCTTCCCCTGTGCTGCCTGTTCTGCCCTACTGCTGGAAACTGCTTGCCCTTGCCCACAGAAAGGAGTTCAGTCCGTGGCCAGGCTCGGAGCTTCTTTGCTTCTGTGGATCACATGCAGATGTGTGTCCCCCTGCTCTGCCCTTTCTCTGACCTGTTGAAAGCAGCATCTGCTCCGACTAAGAAAACACCCTGGCACTGCAGTGGTGCCAGCAGTGCATCTTGTCTGGTGCCAGTGTGGCTGTGCTGTGTGCTCTGCTTGGGCATTCAGGCTATTTCAGCAGGGCTGGTCCCAGGCTGGCTGCCCCTGGGGAGAGTTATGGGCACTCCCCACCACTCTCGTGTGCTTTTAACTTGTCCTGACAGAGCTGAAATCATGTCTGTCACATTTCGAGTACTTTTAGGATAGTTCACATTGTGCTCTCTGCTCTGCTGTGGTAGTAAACCATGTGTTTCAGGGTTTTGTTTTATCCCTTGTTCTGGGTTCCTAACACAGGTCATTCAGGGCCTTTGATCCAGACTGGTGTTTGCTTTGTTCCCGCTATTTTGCTCAGCAGTGCTGCAGGAGGGACACCGGGCAGTGCTGCTCCACCGCTGGGTGCTGGGGTGGCCCTCAGGGAAGGGGCTTTAGAGAAGCCTTTCCCAAGTCCAGCTGAAGCTCAGGTGATCTGGAGTTGCTGTGGCACTCACATCACTTGGCAAGGCCACTGACTTTTCTTGGGTTCACCTGAGTTTCTGCTCTGTGTGAGATTGCCAGCAAGCATTTAATTCCTGCAGCCTTTGCTCCTGTTGCAT